CTCTCTCTCTCTCTCTCTCTCTCTCTCTCTCTCTCTCTCTCTCTCTCTCTCGAAAGATTTCCCCTATACCCCAGACTGTTCTTACACTCCCGATAGGCTCCTCCTCCATCTAACCTTCCTGACTCTGTGAATACAGGCATGGAACATCAAAAGGCTTTAGAGTCACTTTTAAACACGCAAATAGACATTTGAGCTCAGAAAAGCCCCAGAGGTCTCTGAATTACAGAGGATCCATCATCAGGACCACTGAAGATGACAATACTGGATACTGTCAGGGTGAGTTGATATCTAGTAAAGAAAAATTGTAAGAGAGAAATTTTGTGTTCAGAAAGAGAAAAATGGATGGGGGAAGAAGGGCTGAGCTGTTTGGGGAAACAGCCCCATCACAGATGTGTAAAATAGGCCTTATCTTTCCCGGAATACACAAACAGGAAGAGAAATGTGTCTTTTATCTAAACATAGAGCAGTTTAAGCAGCTGAGCCTTCGTTCCTGGACCTACAGTTTGGATGAGAAAATGACATTCTGCTGAAAGAGACTCTTCAGCGATCTCTCCTGGGTCAGCCTAGGTACGTCAGTGTATTTTTATTATTTACCAGAAGTGGAATCAGGTTTGGATTTCTACATTTTTAAGCAGAAAACAGGCAGAAGGAAGGATCGGGGTATAATATGAAAGGAGAAAGGACTTGGAATATGGGAATTTTTTCTTCATAGAAAAAAATCTCAATATTTATACTTGTGTGTCAGTACTGAAATGTCATACAAAAATCAGAAGACTCAGTGACTCTTTTGTCAGGCGAAATGTCAAGAACAAGTTTGTTATGTTACATTCTAGATGGATTGGTGCCTTTCACTGTGTTCGTGGGTAGAAGACGAGATGCACCAATTATAAAATAACACATCCTTTTCATATAAATGGTCTGATTTAGTAGGTTTTATTTAGTATATGTTACTTCATTACTATCTTTGTAATTCAAAAATTGAATTGTAAATAACCTGACACTCCGATTAATTCAACAAGTCACCTGTGGGGACTGCAGCAGGATGTGGACATGACTAAGACAGATGTGGGGAGTCATCATGATTTCTTCAGACTTCTTTTCTTTGTCCCTTCGGGCAACTTACACATGGGAATGGCATGTTTTCTTGGGACTAACTGTGTGCCAGACACCATACGTGCACTTATGTGGAGAAATGTGACTGGACTACCTGTCTACCAAGGTGAACACCTAGGAGCTATGAGAAGGTGTCCCAAAGGACTTCATAGCACGCTGCTTTAGCCACTGTCTACCACCACATAGGCACCCCCAGACTCAGTGTCATCAAAAGTCTAGACCAAATGCTATTTGTCCTGATACCTGGTTTATAGACTTGACCCAATGTGCTGTGAACACATTACTTCCCAGGGATGGGGGAAGTAGATAACCTTCGTATTTTCATTTATTTTAAATGCTTATTTAGCATCAACCATGTGCTAGATATTAGTACCAGATACTTGGTGGAAATAGTAAACAACAAAAAGTGCCCTGCTTTATTGTGGCTTCTCTTATAAAGATAGGAGAGAAGAGAAGAGGAGAGGAGAGGAGGAGGAGGAGAGGAGAAGGGAGGGGAGGGGAGGAGAGAAGAGAGAATATAATATCAGATAGTAAAAAGTGTAAAATACTAGCAAGGAAAATAAGTCAATTTTGTGTCAAAAACCAGACTGATAGCTGAGTAAGAAACCAAATTAGGTGACTTTCTGGTGTGCTTGTATTTGATGACGTAAATTAGATCAGGGCCATTAAAGGAATACATTTTTTATTTCTGGACATGATTATTAACTACTGGCATTTCGTGCTTATAAATATGTTTATTGTTTGCTTGTTTGGCTGGCAACCTGATTGTAGTGGGTAGCCATTCCAGCCTTGATCTGGAAGTTCCAACCTCCATTGAGGCTTCAGTAACTGTCACACCTACAAGGCAGGGCCAAGAGAGGACCCTGAAGACCAGAGATCTGGATGAGCTGGCTCTCTTAGTTCCTGGACCCTGGAAGCTGGAGGTAGACCATGCAGAATTCTCCAGAGAACACCGCCAGACTGCGCCACACCTTTCCCAGACTCTGCCACACCTTTCCCAGACTCTGTAAACTACCCATTCACTTGTAAGTTACCCCACAAAATAAACCTCCATTTTAACTACGTGGAGTGGCCTTAATAATTTCACCAATACCTGATTCCCAGTTCCAGGCTCCAACAGACTCAGTCTCTCTCTGTTCAGCACTAAACACTAGACATCATGAAAATGGTGCCCATGTATTGCGATTCACATATTCTGAAATTTCTTCGATGTATTGCTACCTCCAGGAAACAACTTAATGCTATACTACTGAACTTGAATTCCTGGATTTAAAAAACATTTTCAGTGGAAATTCTTCAACTGCAGTTTTAAAAGTTACAGAATTATGTTCCATCAACAGTTTAAATTATTGTCCAAATCAAGTCTAACCACAGGAAAGTACAATCTAAAGGTGGTCAGTGCCTCTCTACCCATGTCCTTTTCTTCTTGCACTTTCAATTAAAGGCGATTGTTTTGGAAAATCTGTTTTTGTTCTGTTTATTTCAAAAGTCCTAAACACACACACACACACACACACACACACACACACACACACACACACACACACACACACACAGTGTCCCTTTCACTCTTAGTTTTTTACACAGTACACAGTTTTAATCTTCTTTTCTCTCCTATGCTTTTTCCACATTCTCTGCTACCTAGATACTTGTGAGTGGATACGATAGTGTGTGAAGACACCACTGATTCTTCCCAATAGATGCAACCACCTGCTCTGTGTGGATGTGGATGTACTCTACTCTTTTCATGGAGTTTGAACTGTTCTCAGGATTTTGTTATTTCAGTCAACAGGCTAATGTGTAGCCCTGTGAGTCCTGTATGTTAGTCTTTCACGGGGATTCCTAGAGTTACTTCTGGGGTAAATTCTACACACACACACACACACACACACACACACACACACACACACACACACACATTATAACTCTGGAAGAGATTTATCTGAGTGCTGACATTTCCTTAATTTGACAGTATGGTTTCAGCCTTTCAGAGGGTCTACCCATTCAGTAGGAAATGGTATTTTGGCGGAATTTTAATTGCTTTTGTATTTTCAGCAAAACTGCCTAGCTTTCCTAAGAAACTACTGGTCTTTAATTTTCTGCTCAATTTTCTGAGGTCAATATTCCACCACACTTTAAAATAGAGACGTCTTTTTATTTTTATTTTATGAACTCTTTATATTTTAAGGATATTACCACTTCAATGTTTTCTCAATTTGCCATACAAAATCATTTTATGTTATATGTTTATGCTCATCCTTTTCCACATCCTTACTTCCAAACACGATTATAGGAGGCATACTTTCCTACCTTTAAATTATATTTAGCTTTCCATTACTATAACATAATACTTGATGTTATTAGCAGTCCCAGTCGGAGGAAAGAGCACATTGTGGTGGGAGGGAATTGGACTCGCCTCACGTGTTTAAGACTGCTTGTCAACTCAGCAGGGTCTAGGTTCACGTGGAAGACAAACCTCTACCGGTGCTTGTTGGGGATTTTCTTGATTATGTTAATTGAGACGGGAAGACCCACCCTGAACCCATGGGGCACCATTCCCTGGTTTAGGTCCTGGACTGCACAAAAAAACAAAACAAAAAAACAAACAAACAAACAAACAAAAAAACTTGAGCTGAACACCAGAAATCACCACTTCTTGTTTCATGATGGCAGGTGTCATGTGACCAACTGCCTTATGCGTCTGTTGTCCAGATTTCCCCATCGTGATGGTCTGTGCCCAGGACTGTAAGTAAAAGAGATCTTTTCCTCCTCAAATTGCTGTGTTTGTTTTTCCAGACAGGGTTTTTCTCTGCGTAGTCCTGGCTGCCCTGGAACTCGCTCTGTAGACCAGGCTTGCCTTGAACTCAAAGGTCCGTCCGATTCTGCCCCTCCCCGCTCCAGTGCTGGCATTAAAGAGGGCTTCTCCAATGTCCATCTCAAGTTGCTTTTGTTGGGGTATTTTAACACAACAACAAGAAAAGAAACTAATACACTCACAGGGAGAAAGGGAGGGGAGGAGGGAGGGGGAGGGAGAGAGAAAGGGAGGAGCGGGGACAGAGACGGAACAGGCAACAGTTCCTAATCCTTGAGAGGATTCCCAATTACTTAGGTGTGCCCTGTAAAGTCCCACGTACAGAAGCCACCGTCTTCCAATAGTACCGCCTGGGTGACCATGCCTTTAACACATGGACATTTTGGGAACAATTACCACAAACAGCAGAGATGATAGAAGAAATAATTTTAATTAACTTTCAGTACTGCAGTATAGATTTCTTTTAGAATAATCTTGATACTTTGGGAAGTTACTCTTATATCTGGCGAAAGGGGCCCGTGTTGCTTTTCTGTTTTCCCCATTGGATTATCAAGTTATTGTTACATCACTTACTAAGAAACTTGAGCTATCACCCTTGAGATTTTCTATATTATGGTTATGAAATAAAATTGGTTTCTGAATTTCCCATTTTATTCCACTAATCCATCTAGTTTTTTGTTGTAAGTTCCACATTACTGTGAGACATTTTTCATATTTAATAACTGCTGAGACTACAAGGTATTTTCCCCACCCTTTTCAATATTTGTTTCCTCAAGTGAAAGTTAACTTTTCTAGTTTTCAAAAAGAATGCTTAAAGCGTTTCAGTGTTATCTCATTAAATTTGTAATTACCTCAGGGAAAGCTATCTATTTATAATATGGTTTTACTAAGTATCTGATATGTATTTCCATTCATTTAAGTTTAGTTAAGATTTTTTTTCTTAAAGTTTAGATGTTCTTATTGGAAATTAGTTCAGGTATTTACTGTTCTTAGTATATTAATTATTATATTTGCTAATTGCCAAGTTGACTTTCTTTTATGTTATATGTTATATTTAGTTATGTATATATACAAGGATGACATTGCTTTTTACGTTAACTTTACAAAATTTGTGACTTTATTAATTCCTTATTTATAGCATATTTTTAATGATTATACATATTTTAAAATTATATCGTATTTTTTATAATTTAAAACAATTTTTAAATTTAAATATATTTTGATCATATTCTCCTCCTCCTCCAGGCCCTTCCAGATCCCCTCCCCTTCCCTATCCACCCAACTTTAAGTTCTTTCTCAAAAATCAAAAACCTAATACCATTACAACCCCTCAAACCAAGAAAGCAAAATAATAGCACACCCCAAAAGAAACATAACAAAGTAAAAACCCTCCAAAGTTTAACTAAATAAAAGCACACACACACAAAACCCCCACAAAAAAACAACAAAAACAAAACAAACAAACTATGGAGTCCATTATATGTTGGTCAACTACTCCTGAACATAAGGTATGACAGATTTTTTTTTTTTTTTTTTT